TATAGTCCCAGCTACTTGGGAGGCTGAGGCAAGAGAATCGCCTAAACCCAGGACTTGGAGGTTGCTGTGAGCTGTGATGCTACAGCACTCTACCGAGGGCAATAAAGTGAGACTCTTGTCTCTTAAAAAAAAATTGCTTTGGGTGGCGCCTGTGGCTCAAAGGAGTAGGGCGCCAGCCCCATATACTGGAGGTGGTGGGTTCAAACTCGGCCCTGGCCAAAAACTGAAAAAAAAAAAAAATTTAGATCGGAATGGATTGATGCCAACAGAAAAAAAAAAAGTTGAAATATAGAAAAGTAGTTGTATTAGAACTCACGCTATTTGAAGCTTAAATGCTCTACTTATATCCTGACCTGGATGTATTAAAACTGTACTTTTCTGCCTTTCAAGGAAGCAAAACCCAGCTCTGTTTGCATTAAAACCACTAACCATTATAAAAACATGTCTGTAGGGTGTGTGTGTGTGTTCCTTCTTCTCAGGCTGTGGTGTGCCTAGGCTCAGCACTGAATGTGGAGGATGAGTGATCTATCTCCCACTGGGTGGGTTACGAATGTGTACTAAGAAATGCTAAGAGTAATTCATTCACCTCACAATTCATCACTTACAGGTATTTATCTGACAGATATATTCATATACGTATGTGAAACTGCATTACTAAAGGGCATTATTATTATTTTGTTAAGCAGGCCCCTGTCTGGTTTAAACTCTCAGTGCACCAGGGCTGGCACTCTAACCATTTATTTTTTTTGCAGTTTTTTGGCCAGGGCCGGGCTTGAACCTGCCACCATCAGTATATGGGGCCGGCTACTCCTTGAGCCACAGGTGCCACCCTAGCACTCTAACCATTGAGCTACAGGCACCTAGCCTTATAGGGCATTATTTTAAGAGCAAATAACAGAAAATAAATGTCCCTTGGTAACAGAGTGGTTGATAAATGCTGGTGGGGCTACACGTCAGAATACTAGGCAGCCGCTTAAAAACTGGATAAGTGGTCAGTGCATGTAGCTCAAGCAGCTAAGGCACCAGCCACATACACCAGAGCTGGCAGGTTTAAATCCAGCCTAGGCCTTCCAAATGACAACTACAACCAAAAAAAAAAAAAAAAAAAAAAAATAGCTGGGCGTTGTGGCAGGTGCCTGTAGTCCCTGCTACTTGGGAGGCTGAGGCAAGAGAATCTCGTAAGCCCAAGAGTTTGAGGTTTCTGTGACGCCATGGCACTACACCCAGGGCAACAGCTTGAGACTCTGTCTCAAAAAACAAAACAAAACAAAAAACCCCAAAAAACTGGGTAAGTAAGCTGTAGTTTACTGAAGTGGAATGCTCCCTCCAGAAAACAAGCCCTAATTAAAAAAAGCTACTTGGGAGGCTGAGGCAAGATACCATTTCCCTCCTTTGGGATCCTAGTTATCCTGGCTTTAAAATGTCTCAAAATTCTGGTAGTCTTCCCTTCAAAACTCAGAGCCTAATTCTCCTCCTTCTGAGTGTGAGCTGGGTGCAAGGGCTTGATTCTAACAAGTTGATTGTGGAGGCAATGATAGCATGAGACAACTAAGGTTAGCTCATAAAACCACTGTGGTCTTCTGGCTCTCCTTAGGATCGACTGCTCTGAGGAAGCTGGCGGTCATGTTTTTAGTATGCACAAGCAGCTCTACATAAGGGTCCTGAAAGGGAAGAACTGAGGCTTTCACCCAAGAGCCACATAAGGGTACTTGCTTCAATTGCAACCACCCATAAAAATCATTCTGAAATCCCTGACCCACAGAAACTGTGAGATAATAAATGTTTGTTGCTTTAAGCCACTAAGTTGTGGAGTAACTTGTTAAGGCAGCAATAAATACTCTGAACAACAGTTATCCATTAAACGTTTTAAATATTAATTTCTGCCAGCCCTATACAACTCTCCTAGATTTGCAACATTTGGGAGTTGAAAGGACTCCTCAGTCACCTGAGCCACTAAGGCTGCAAAGTAAATGCATCACCAGCATGATCAATACCCAGGTTTCAGAGTGAGATTTAATGCTATGCACGTTAAAACATCCAAGCAGTTTTCAGAAACATGAGAAGTCTTAAGTTGCACCATGAACGTCCTCGGGATCCATCCTAAGGGCTTGGGCTGTTCCTGATGCAGCAGTCACGGAGATGGCTAGAGCGAGCACCACCAGACACCTGGAGGGGGAGGACACAAGGCAGGGTGAGCAGAAATGTCCCTTCTACAAGAGGCTGGCTGTGCGAGTATCCTGGGGACTCTATTTCACCAGAGTCACTGAAATGGCAGAGGCTCCAACTCCAAAAGGTGAGGAAGATACTGGCCCACGTCCAAATTGAGATGCATGGCCCTGGGCCTCATATTCCCATCTGTAACATGGGGGTATAAGAGTTGTGGCCAGGGTGGCACCTGTGGCTCAAAGGAGTAGGGCGCCAGCCCCATATGACAGGGGTGGTGGGTTCAAACCCACCCCGACAAAAACTGCAAAAAAAAAAAAAAAAGAGTTGTGGCCAGGCAGGATTGTCAGGAGGGCAATGAGCTCTGACACAGGCAAAGTGACTGGCATGGGCACTGGCACACTGAAAACATGTACAGATTGAGTCCCAGGCCTTGAGTAATACCTACAGGGGCTCACTGTGGGGATAGAAGCTGTGCAACAGCTTTAACTTTCCCTATCTGTAAAACAGGTCACCCCATCCAGAGCTGGGATGTAGACCGAGGCAGGTGGCCAGCACTAATCAGCCTCCAAGACTGCCAGAAGCTGTCTAGCAGGGAGTGGCTGGGCCCACTCTCCAATCACACAGACCAAGGCTGCTGGGCTGACAGTTCTGTGCCAAAGGGTGGAAGGTGCTGGAAGGGCCACCCCAGAGGCCCACCCTCATGCAGGCATCTCCAGGTGAACAATCATAGTGAGTCCTCAAGACCTGCCACCCTTAGCTCTGAAGCTCAGAGAACCCACTCCTCCACCACCTGGCAGCCACGTGATTTGCCCACCCACAACAGTGGGCAGGACTCTTGTACTTGGGGAGACTTACCAGAGGGGTCCGTGGAGGGTTGCTTTCATTAATCATCCTTCTTAAACTTGCCATTGATGTAAGGCACCCAGTCCAGAATCAGCCGCCAGTCGGTCATCCACACCAGCCCCACAGCACCTACAGCACTCCACATGCCCACGGTGGGGATCCTGTAGAGAGGGTGGGCAGTCAGGCTCCACTCAGAGCTCACCCTCTAAGGTCCTCTCCCAATTGCACACATGGGTGCCCATTTACCCCAATCTACTAAGCGTTGAGTGCCTACTTCATGCCTGGTCCCTGCCTAAAGATATGGGCTCTGTAGGATGCTGACCCCAAAGGTCAAAGCAGCATGTAATCTGTCCATGCTGTCAGCCCTTGGGATAGGGTCTCTGACCCACCAGTTCTTGCATCTCCCGAGAACTACCTATGGGCAGGAACATGAGCAGGTTGGGGGGATTGCCTTGGGGCCCCAACTTCAACTCTTTGACCTGCTTTCACATTAGAGTTCTACTTAAGGTTTTATTTGAGGAATTCTGCTAAAAAAGAAAATCAAGTTTGTAACCAAGAAGACAGCTACTGAGTGTCCTCACAGCTAACCGCAGTTTATAGCAACCCATCATCCCTGCAACGGCTGCAAGGCTGAGGGAGGTACCATGACCAGGTCCCTGTTTCACAGATGAGATCAAGCAACAGAAGGACAAGAGTCACTCACTTGATACACAGGTAAGGTGGCAGAGAGTGTGGACAGGAACTGAGGCATTAGGTTCCAAGTCCACATCCTTGCCTTGCATATGCTGTGAAAGTCAAGGATGACCCAGGATGCCACCTGCCATTCACATCCTTGTATAGTGTGGACCAAAGCACTCTCTTCTAATGCTAATGGAAAGAACACAGCGTTGTATTATCTTCTGAAGGCAGGCTATAAAAAGATGGTACTTTTTGGCTCAGTGCCTGTGGCTCAAGTGGCTAAGACACCTGCTACATACACCTTAGCTGGCAGGTTCGAATCCAGCCCAGGCCCGCCAAACAACAATGACGGCTGCAACCAAAAAATAGCTGGGAGTTGTGGCGGGTGCCTGTATCCCAGCTATTTGGGAGGCGGAGGCAGGAGAATCGCTTGAGCCCAGGAGTTGGAGGTTGCTGTGAGCTGTGATGCCACAGCACTCTACTGAGGGCAAAAGCTTGAGGCTCTGTCTCAAAAAAGATGGTACTTTCATATTGGGTGCCCTCTCCGTTGGCAGCTTTAGGGGAAGCTGCCATGCTGAGCTGCCCTATAGAGGGGCACCTATGCCAGAGAGCTGAAAGCAGCCTCCAGTCAACAGCCATAGAGCTACTAAACCTTACCAACCACATGAGTGAGCCTGGAAAACACCTGCCCCAGTGAAGCCTTCCTATGAGACCCTGAGCCAAAGATCTGGTGCCTGAATTCCTGAGCCACAGAAGCTATTTGATAATGAACATTTATTGTTTTAAGCTGCTAAATTTGGGGGACCATCTGTTATAATAATTATTATTACAGGTCCCACCACTGGCCAGTGGATGACTGGATTAGAATCTGAGTCTTACCTTGCTGGGTCACAATAAACCACATAACGTGCCTGCAATGTTAGGGATGGTGGGAGGGGGTGCTCCTTGAGCTGAAGAGGGGGATCAACAACCCCTGTCCACCTTGTCTGAAAGTGCTTCACCAGAGACAACCCTCTCAGTGGACCAAGACACCAAGGTCCAGAGAAGATGTAACGTGTGGGGTACCCAGTGGTGAGCAGGGATCCTCTGACCCGAGTCTGAGAAAAAAATACACACAGCTTCCTCCAGGGATACGATCTGCTTCCTGGTCTCCCAGAGCCATGGTCTGCTGAGACAGGGCTGCAGCCCCCTCCCTACACCACAGATCTCAATAGTCTATTTTTTCTTGCCCACCAATTACAATGTCAGCCCACAAGGGTTTGGTTTTATGTATTGCTGCATCTCTAGGACACAGCAGATGCTCAATAAATGCTTCTTGGCTGAGTGAAAACATGGATGGATGCAGGTCACTGCTCTTACCGCACAGATGCAAGTGGACCCACTCTACCTGGGAGAGGCTGCACTGTCTAGCTTGGGCCTGGATCGCTGTGTTCTTGTCCCAGGCTGGAGTCACCCATGCTGAAAAACGCCACTATCACGCTCCACCCGAAGGACCCCTCAACCCCTCACTCTTGCCTCCCTGTCTGGGGTGGAGGAAGTGTATTCCAGCTCAGGGATGCACTGCCAAGCATAAGCCCTTGTTTTTTAGTACCCCATGTGCAGAGGTCATCCCCCTATTGTGGAATCACAAGCAGGTGCAGCTGTGCTGTTTCACAGTTCTTGTCAAAAAAATCATAAAAAGTAATAACCAAGTGACTGTGACGGTATCTTATGCCTGTAATCCTATAACTCTTGGAGGCCCAGGTGGGTGATTGCTTGAGCTCAGGAGTTGAGACTCCATCTGTAAAAAAAATAGCCAGGCGTTGTGGCAGGTGCCTGTAGTCCCTACTACTTAGGAGGCTGAGGCAAGAGGATCATTTGAGCCCAAGAGTTAGACCCTAGCACCCCAGAAGGCTGTGAGCTATGACGCCACTACACTCTACCAAGGGCAATAATGTGAGAGACTCTGTCTCCAAAAAAAAAAACTAATAACGTAATAAAAGAAAAGCAAAGCCAGAAATTTAAAGGTTTAGTTTCAGGCCCAAACACCTGAGCCGAGGGTGCTGGGCTGGGTAACAGGGTTCACAACCACTGGGCAAACAGGTGGGAATCCCAGAGTGGCAGGGCTCCGCAACCTCAGGGAGACTCCATCTGGTAGGTGGGGAGAGGATTCCCAAGTGAAGATGGGGAAACTGAGGCTCCGAGCAGCTCAACAACTGAGCCGAGGATGCTAGGATTTGGCCTCGGGCGCCCCAGAACACACCGCTAAACTTTCTGAGCCTCAGTGTCCCCCTGTCACCGTGGAACAACAAGGGACCCCGGCCCGAGGCGGGAGCGGGGGTCAGTGGCGGGGCAGCGTCCTCACCAGTTCTTCGCCAGTTCCCGGTAACGCGGGCCCATGAACCGGGTGAGCATTGCGGCTCCGTATACAACTTCAGGGTGACCCTGTCCGGCCAATCCGGTCGCACTGCGCAGGTCCGGCCGCAGCACGCACGCGTACAGGGGAACATCCGCCGCTGCGCACGCAGAGCAGGAAACCTCAGTCACCTCCGGGGAGGGGCGGACTGAAGTGGGCGGTGCTTTGTGATCACAATATCTTCTAGCGAGAGAGGGTTGTTGTCTATGTGGCATGGCTACCTGTAAATCAGTATAGCTCGGAATATTTGGCTGCTGTCTTTGTGCCCCTGGTATGTGCCAGAACATTACTTACAATGAAGGAAGAGGCTTGCCTACCGTCACACAGAAGGGAAGGGCTGAGACTTAAACCCATTTTTGGAGGCATCTGGGGTTCTCACTGATGTGCTGTTGGACTTTGGCCAATTAGCGGTGCTGCCCTGAGCCTCAGCTCCCTCATCCTGCGTTGTCTGTTGCTTGGAAGCCCTGTTGGAAATCTTCGCCCGTTTGGGAGAATTAGTAAGTCCTCATTCTGGCAACAGCAGGAGGCCTGGCTTCTTGCACTGTGACCACCTTGGATCCCCTTAGCTGATGGACAGGCGGATCCTCCTTGCTCTTTGCTTTCTGCAGCTCCAGGCTCGCCTTTCTCCACTTCCTGCCTTCCCTGATTACAGACCGGAGGTGTAGGCGAGGCACTGTGACTCACGCCTGTAAACCTAGCATTCTACAAGGCTGAGGCAGGTGGATCGCCTGAGCTCGGGTGATCGACACCAGCAAGAGCAACCCCCTGTCTCTACTAAAACTAGAAAAACTAACCAGGCATTCTAGCAGACACCTGGAATCTCAGCTACTTGAAAGGCTGAATCCAGAAGTTCTCTTGGGCGGGGCTCAGTGCCTCACACCTGCAATCCTAGCACTCTGGGAGGCCAAGGCAGGTGGATTGGCAGGTCTAAAAAAACCAAAAAGACCTGATGTATAAGTGCACAATGAGCTTCCAACTTTCAGTACCAGTTTGGCACTCTGGGCAGGTGTAGATAGAAGAAAGAGGGGCACATTCCAGAAACCACCATTGCAACATCATGCCTTTTCCTCTATTTTCATCAAATGTAGCCTCCCTCAGGAAGCCGCCTTTGACTGGCTAACCCCCAGGCACCTTTGACAGCATGAACATCTAGGTCATAGCCTAGATAGATGAGGAATGGAGTGTTGTTTCTGGGCCCCCAGTGTTGGATACAGACATGGTGATAAGGAATGGACACCATGGGTTTTTCTGTCAAACCCTTCCTGTTTTCCTGGATTCCGTCCCTCAGCAACCTCCAAGCCTGCTGTTCTCTGGGGGATACATGTTCGGACTCATCCTTGTCTCTAGGCAAGAACTGTAAGTGAGAGCCAGAAATTTAGAGACCACAGTCTGGGTTAATGGTTTGGGTATTGTTTCTAGATCTTTCCAGGTGCCCTGGAGTTTTTGAGTTTGGGCTGAATAAAACCATCCTTTGGTGGCTCACACTGGTAATCCTAGCACTCTGAGAGGCTGAAGTGAGAGGATCACTTGAACTCGAGTTTGAGACCAGCCTGAGCAACACAGTGAGACTTTATCTCTACTAAAAATAGAAAAAAAAAAAATAGCTGCACATTGTGGTGGGCGCCTATAGTCCCAAGTATTCGGGAGGCTGAGGCAAAAGAATCACTTAAGCCCAACACTTTGAGGTTGCTGTGAGCTGTGACATCACAGCACTCAACCCAGGGTGACAGCTTGAGGATCTGTCTCAAAAGAAAACAAAAAGGGATGTAGTGGCTATTGTCAAGACTGTAAAGAGAAAGGAGGAGGAGGGGAGAGAGAGAGAGAGAGAGAATATGAGAATAAGGCTGCCTGAATAAATGAGCAAACATGAGGATAGAGGCCTGGGGGCCACCAGTGCTGGATCCCAGCAATTCCTGAAGCTCTGCCTTATTGCTTCTTGTGCTTAATGAACTTCAGCTCATGAGGCAAAATGCTTTTTACCAAGTAATAAGCAAAGAAAACTGGTTTAAGAGGCAAAAGCAAAGTTCTAAGTCATGATGAATGGCTTCAGAGATGGCTGGATGTAGGGTAGGGGCCCAGCAATATCATTACAAATCCCTCTCCATCTCTCAGCAATTCTTTCCTTTATGTCACCCTCATTCTTTGGTGAACTCTCTTTTAGTAGCAGCATCTGAGGACTCCAAGTTGACATTCTAGTCACCCTTGTAGGATGATGACACCTCTTCCCCAAGAGCCTGCTATGGATACAAGTGGAGTCAACCTCTCTCACGTGATAGCGTGGGCTGAATTGGGGAGCCAGGGGATTCCTCAAAGAAAATAGGCAGGATTCTGTGATACAGAGATGGTGGATGGGCAAGAACTACCGACCTCCCTCACACTTGCGTGGGCTTCTTCTCCTAGTAATACTATAGTAAGTCAGAGTCATAGACATTTAGTGAGGGCTTCCAGGGTGCCAGGCACTGTTCCCTGTACTTTTTGTGTATTACCTCTTTCCATCAATCCTTGTCACAGCTAGGAAACTGAGGCACTTGGAGGTTAAGTGCCTTGCAACCTGAAAGAAACCTCACAAAGCAGTTGCTTGATACTTGCTTATGGGATGGAGGGATAAGTGGGGGCCACGTGGCCTACAGCTGCCATCTTTCTTTCCAACACCCACTGACCCAGTCTGAAGGCACCGGTACCTTGGTCCTCCTACTGGGGTCCCACTAGGACTGGGCACTTAGGCGGTACCTGGAAATCCATGGCTTTGATGAGAGGGAAGGAACTCAGCCCAGACATCCTGGATTCCCTGTGGAATTCCTATCTTGTCCTTGGGAAAAATGAAAGTCTTTTTTTCTTGTTTGTTTTTATTGATACAAGATTCACATAATAGGCTTGGCACCTGTAGCTCAGCAGCTAGGGCACTGGCCACATACACCAGGACTGGCGGGTTCAAACCTGCCCTGGGTCTGCCAAACAATAATGACAACAACAACAACAAAAAAATAGGCAGGTGTTGTGGTGGGCACCTGTAGTCCCAGCTATTTGGGAGGCTGAGGCAAGAGAATCTCTTAAGCCTAAGAGTTTGAGGTTGCTATGAGCTATGATGCCACAGCATTCTACCAAGGGTGATATAGTAAGATTCTGTCTCAAAAAAAAAAAAAAAAAAAGAAAAAGAAAGAAAGAAAGAAAGCAAGAGAGAGAGAATCACATAAGCCCAGGAGTTTGAGGTTGTTGTGAGCTGTTGATAACACAGTACTCTACCAAGGGCGACATAGTAAGAGTCTGCCTCAAGAAAAAAAAAGATTCACATAGTATATAACTGGCCATTTTGAAGCATACACTTCTGTGGAAGCACTGTATGTAGCTTCACCCCAGTTCTATTATCTCAGAAGATCCCATCCCCATAAATGGTCACTGCCCACCCTCTCCCTGATACCTACTCCTGGCCTCTGTGGATCTACCCATTCTGGATATTTCACATAAATGGAATCTCACACTGTGTGTCCTTCTGTGTCTGCTTCTCTCACTTAGCATGATGTTCTCAAGGTCCATCACATTATAGCCTTGTGTCAGAGCCTTGTTCCTTTTCATGGCTGAATGATATTCCCTGTGTAGATGGATCACACTGGGTTTATGTACTCCTCCACTGATGGACACTTGGGTTGGTTCCAAAATATATTTATTTTCACCATAGAAAATTCCAAACACACAAAACAGAATGGGTGTCAAAGGGAGCTTCTTCTCCCTGTGTCCTCACCTTGCTATTTCCTGATTATTGCAAACAAAACCCCAACATCAATTTCATTAATAAGTAGCATTTCTGTGTCTATCTTTATAGGATAAGGAATCTTTTCTTTTTGAGACATTTGTCCCATGTCCTGCGGCGTTTTAAAAAAGTCCCGATTTTTGGAAAGAATGCATGACAAGCTAGGGAACAGCAGGAGAATGGGAAGGGAATATAGTTTTCGGTTGCTGAAAAGGTTAATGTAACTCCATTTGGGAATGAAAAGGTTAATGTAACTTCATTTGGAAATGAAAAGGCTAATGTAAACTCCCTACTCCCTCCTGGGCAAGGTATCAGAAGGAGACTGGCTCCCTCCCTTACTTCTAGGCAAGGACAATCGGCTCAGAAGGAGCCAAACTGTTTGGAACAAACAAGTAGCCGCCCCCGCCCCCCTCTAGAGTAAGGTGACCAGACGTCCCACTTTTGGCTAGACAGTCCCGATTTTTAACAATTTGTCGTGTGTCCTGCGGCGTTTTAAAAAAACCCGATTTTTGGAAAGAATGAACAACAAGCTATGGAACACAAGAGAACAGGAAGGGAATATACGGTTTTTGGTTGCCATGTGGCTATTTTGCCAGGATATGCATTTTATATATTTGTTGTTAATTTTATAATGTTAAATTTTAATAATAACAAATAATTGTTGAGAACTGATTATCGAGAACTGCTTATCAAAGTTTGCATTGTTGTCAGGCCCTGCCTTCCCTCAATGGTGTCCCACTTTACCAATGTTAAAATCTGGTCACCTTAGTATACAACCATGCCTAACTAACAAAAAAAAATTTTTTTTAGAGATGGGGTCTTACTATGTTGTCCAGGCTGGTCTTGAACTCCTGGCCTCAAGTGATCCTCCCACCTTAGCCTCTCAAACTGCTATGATTACAGGTATAAGCCACTGTGCCCAAAGGAAATCTTTTTTTTTTTTTTCAGACAGTCTCAAGCTGTCGCCCGGGGTAGGGTGCCAGTGGTGTCACAGCTCACAGCAACCTCAAACTCTAGGACTTAAGTGATCCTCTTGCCTCAGCCTCCCAAGTAGCTGGGACTACAGGTGCCCACCACAAAACTGGCTATTTTTTGGTTATAGTTGTCATTATTGTTTGGTGGGCCAAGGCTGGATTTGAACCCACCAGTTCTAGTGTATGTGCCCTAGCCGCTTGAGCTACAGGCACTGAGCCAGGAAATCTTTTTTAAAAAAGGAAAATAGGCTGGATGCCTGTACCTTAGGTGGTTAGGGTCCTGGTCACATGCACCAAGGCTGGTGGGGTTCAAATCCGCTGGGCCTGCTAAACAAAACAAAAATAGCCAGCGTTGTGGCAAGACACTTGTAGTCCCAGCTACTTGGAAGGCTGAGGTAAGAGAATCGCTTGAGCCCAAGAGTTTGAGGTTGCTGTGAGCTATGATGTCATAACATTTTACAGAGGGCGACAAAGTGAGATTGTCTCAATAAAACAAAAAAGAAAACAGCTACAATTCCATTAACAAATTTAAGTTCTAAAATAATTGTTTGAAATCATTAAATATCCAATGTTCATATTTCCAATTATGTCAAAAAGTCAGTTTTTTTTTTTTTTGGAGACAGTCTGTCACTCTAGTAGTGCGCCATGGCAAGTAGGTGACCTGCTATCTAATGTACTCACAACTGTTTTTTGAGACAAGAGTCTCACTTTGTCACCCTTGGTAGAGTACTCTGCCATTACAGCACACAGCAACCTCAAACTCTTGGGCTTAAGTGATTCTCTTGCCTCAGCCTCCCAAGTAGCTGGAACTACAGGCACCTGCCACAAAGCCCAGCTAATTCTTTGTTGCAGTTGTCATTGTTGTTTAGCTGGCCCAGGCTAGGTTTGAACTTGCCAGACTTGGTGTTATATGGCTGGTGCCATAACCACTGTGCTCTGGGCACCAAGCCAAAAAAATCATAGTTTTTATTTTCTTATTTTTGGCTGGGGCTGGGTTTGAACCCACCACCTCTGGCATATGGGGCCAGCACCCTACTTCTTGGCACCACAGGCACCACCCACATAGTTTTTATTTTTTTATGCTTTGAAACAGAACTCAGGGAACAGAATCCATGATTAATTGCTGTAGCTCCTGAGTCTCACCTGAGTTCCCTTCACTTTAATTTTCCTTGCAATTTATTCACAGGAAGACAGGGTCATTTCCAATGAAGTTTCCTCACCTGGGTCTTGCTAGTGGGCTTCTGTACCCAGGGAACACTTGATATTATCAGGTGACATCTGTGGTTGTCCTGACTGGGTTGGGGGTGCTCCTGGCATGGAGTGGGCGGAAGCCATGGGTGCTATATCCCCTTCTCCCTTGGTTGCTGTACCCTCTGGTGTGCAGAGGGGTCTAGCTGTAGAAGATACCACAAATGACTCACTCAGGAGCCTAGGGTTTGATGTAGCAGGCAACAGGGAGCCATGGAAGGTTTCAGAGGGGGAATGACATGAACAGACTTGGGCAGCAGGGTAGGGCTGAGGCCAGAGGCAGGGGGTCAGTGAAAAGCCAGTTCCAAGGGCCCATGAGAAATGAGACCTGGGGCTGGAAGATCTGGATCATCCCCAAAGTCAGGGTTGCCCTCCAAAGTGCAGTACCCCAAGGAGCAGCTTTACCCCAGGAGTCAATCCTGCTTCCAAATCACCTGGAACATAGTGACTCTGTCTCATTATGTTGCCCTTGGTAGAGTGCTGTGGCATCATAGCTCACAGCAACCTCCAACTCTTGGGCTCAAGTGATTCTCTTGCTTCAGCCTCCCTAGTAGCTGGGATAAGCACTCACTACATCGCCCAGCTATTTTTTTGTTGCAGTTGTCATTGTTGTTTAGCAGGCCCAGGATGGGTTCAAATATGCCAGCCGTGGTGTATGTGGCTGGCGGCTGACCCACTGAGCTATGGGCACCACCTCACCTGGAACTCTTATTACAAGTACAGGTATCTGGCCTACTCCACAAAGCTTTGGCCCCAGTTCCAGAATCAGATGATGTTGCAAGTGAGCACACATGCACACAGTTGGACCACTGGGCAGGCTAAGCCCGTGATACGGATGTTGAACCTCTGACTACCCCCCATCATTCATAAGCATGTAACATCTGATAAGATTCTGGGGGACAGCCAAATATTGTTATAAAATGTCACATTTATTGCTACAGTGCTGTTACACAGGACAGGTCTTCAAATCTACTTTAAAGAGGATCAGTTAAAAATCCCAGATAATCCAGCCAGCTGTGTTGACATGTATAAAATTATTTTTTCTTTAAAAAACAACTTTGTTTTGAAAACCAGTTATCTTGAGGCACTCAGAGCACAATTTCTCCCAGTAATTGTGGTTTTTCCCCTGATTAACTGCTACGTTATTTTCTTCTTGTGCTGGGTTAATCTTATCACATATATATAACTTAAATTATATATATAATATACAGTTCCAGAGGCTATGGGGCCTTGGGGTGGGGGACATGGCAGCTTCTCAACTGCTGCTTGCCTGGGGTCTATAGGCAGGACCAGAAGCAAAGCCAGAAGGAAATGAAGGATGGTTCCCTAAGAGACAAAACCCAGACTGATAAGGGGGCAGTGGTCATGGCTGGCATATTAGCCCCAGACCTAGACACCTCTGAGGTGTGACTGACCCTTAGGCAGAGCAGAGGTCTAAAGTTTGGGGTGGCCCCCAGGCCACAGCATTACCCCATATTGCGTTGGCCTTGGGGTTTCCTTTGAATCTCCCATAGGGCCACCAGATTCCAACATGTAGGACCCCAAACTGGGGAGGAGTCAGGCAATTTCCATTTTCGGGGGGTGGGGTGGGGGTGTGTGCAGATGCCTGAGCTGCTGGCAGGATCATCACAGCCAGTTTGGGGGACCATAAGGCCTCTATGCAGGGAATGGGTAAAGGGAAAATGAAGGCACTCCAGGAGACCTGGGTGACAGAGTGACCAACCACCCTTGTGGGTGTGAGACAAGTTTGTTCACCTCATGACATGAGACCAGAAAAGAGGATCTAGAGAGGCCCAGGTAGCCTAGGTACTGGGGACACAGGGCAGAGATGGCCTAGAGGGTAGCCCACCCTCTTGGTTTTGCAGCTGGGTCAGATAGAAGGCCTAGGAGTATTTATGGAGTCCTGGGACCCTGTTCCTTCTCCCAGTTCCAGTCAATCTCAGTCTCAGCCTCTGTGTGTAAGTGTGGCAGGTGTCACCCCAGGGTGACAAGTACTCCCCAGGGTGGGGCCAGGCCAGATGGGACTCTGGCATCTTGACCACACCAGCTTGGCAAAGGGATGTGCTAGGATGGCTGCATTCTGTGGTGGTCCCCTGAGCTGCAACTCCTCTGCCAGCATGCAGAAAATGGGTTTGGGTCTCCAGGCCAAAGGAATCAAGGATGGGATGTCTGGGAAGGCCCCTAGCTGTGCTCCAGGGTGTAGTCTCTGTACCAGAGACTGTTGGTCCCCCCAAAATGCCCCATTTCAGAGAGGTACACAGATTCTCAGGAAAAGCAGCTGATTAGGAGATGGGGGAACAGGCCTCAGGGCCAGAGACAGCCTAGAACAGCTTCACTTTCACTTGGAAGGAATGTCCCCTCCCTAAAGTCCCTTCTCCACAAGGCTGGGGGGCAGGAATAGCAGAAGCCTGCCCCCTCCCTGAGGCAGGAAGAGGAGCAGCCAGGGCAGTCCATGAGACCTCCCATAAGGGCAAGGTGCAAGGCGCATCCACTTCAACACAGTAACACCAACAAACCCCGCAACATTCAAGAAACACAAAACACCACCTGTCTCTGCTCTGTCTGTATGCAGTGGCTTTTGGAGCAGAGGATGGGGACGAGGGGGGGAACCTCAGGTTTACATTGGGACTTTTTAATACAAATTTTAATAATCTGCTTGATCATGAAATGCAATGCTTAGTTTTAGAAACAGCAGCAGAAATAGCAAGAGACAGGAGACTTTTATACAAAAAAATTTGTTGCTTACAAAACATATGCAAAAAAAGCTTTAAAAAAAAAGACCAAGGCATTATCCTTGCTAATTTTCTTCTACATTAAGAAAAAAAATCTTGTAACTAACTTTCTTTTTATTTTTCTTTAAAAAAAAATACGCTTAGGCACAATTTGCTGGTGGCTTTTGAAGAACAAGCCAGTTTGCACAGCATCTCTCTCAAGTGAGTGATATGTTTTGATTCATGTTTTACAGTTAAGGCATTTTTTTTTCCTTTTTGACAAAGTATATATTTTGTTGCTTGCTTTCTGGTTTTGTTTACAAAAAAGAAAAATTAAAAAAAAAATTGCTCCTTTCAGCCCAGGCAATGGGGCCAAGATACAGCTTCAGGATCCAAGGGGCACATCACAGGGCGTCACGGTGGCTGAGACTTGGGAGCAGAGGTTTGAGGACGGTAGCGGGTGGGCCAGTGAGCCCAAGAAGCTCCTGGAGCTGGTATCACCTTCATAGCCCATCACTTGGAACCTCATTACGTCAGGCATTACCTCAACACTGACAGGTGTGTGAAATGTGGCCCATCTGGCCCACTTTGCAGATGAATACCCAATGCCTTGTACAACTGTTCTGGGAGACCTGAGCCCAGGATAAGGGCTAAGGCTGGGTCACTTGTCCCACGATGGTGTACCTTTCACAAGTGCCCAGTAGGATTGTGGGCCTCACTCAGACCTGGGTGGGCAGCTGAAAGCACCATCTGGGGATCTCCAACCACGCCTGATACCTTTTCCTCTTCCCGTCGTTTCAAGCAGGCTGCTTTGGGGTTTAGGTTACGCTCTGTGGAGGAGGGAGAGAGCACCATGGGAGAGGGTCCCCCAGAGAAGAACATAAGGTGGCAGCGTGGGGGAGGATGTCGGGAAGGGTGGGTACAAGGGCCCTGCATGTGGTTCCCTTTATTTTTCATGCTCATCTTCCTAGAGAAGGCAGTAGAGGTTTGAGGGGCATTGTAAAGAGATTAGGTTGCCAGGGGTGTTTGGAAGGATGTCTCAGGGTTTGAAACCAGCCACCAAGAGAGAAGTAGAAAGAAAGAGACCAGAGTCGGTGCACGCAAGTCTTCTGGCACAGCATACCAGGGTGCAAGAGAGGACTCCAATGTCTGTACATGGGCTTGGCAACAGGGAAAATGGGTGTCTGGGGATGCCTTGGCCTGGGAGCCTACCTCGCACCTGCTGCTCCAGGCCCAGAATGACCTGCACGGCCTGCTGCAAGATGAGCAGTTTGGTCTGCGCTTTGTCCGACTTGAGGTGCATCTGGCACATGCGCCCCAGCTCCCGGAAGGCCTCGTTAATATCCCGCACGCGCACCCGCTCCCGTGCGTTATTGGCCATGCGCCTCTCCCGGTCCCTCAGGTCTTTCTCTTCCAGTGACAGCACCTCCTCCGTACTGCTGGGTCACAGCACCGAGGCCTCTGTTAGTTATGTGCCAGGCATGGGGGGAGGGCAGAGACCGGTTGTAGAGAGGGTACACAGCTGGTGTGGGTGAGGATAACAGTGTGTACATGGCTAGAGTCGGTGGGGGCATGGCAGTGTAGGTACATGGGTTGTGCCCGCATGGGTAGCAGTGTGGGTCCATGTGCTATGCTACTGTTCATGTGCCTATATCCATGAAAATGTGCTCATCTGTGTGCAATGGAGTATAGCAGATATCTGCAGTTATGCTCTTTTCTGTGTACAGGTGGCTGCCTAGGTGTGTAAGTCCTCACACCCAACTCTAGGGAAGGCTGTGTGTGTGGCCACAATAAGGACCAATGCTCCCAGATGTTCATGTGGAGGAGGCAGGGCCTTGATTTCCCCAATTGGAAATATGTAGGGGAGCTAATCCTCCTTTGCCCTGTGCTCATCCCACGTGCCCCTACAAGGAAGGCTCAGTATGCCCAACCCTCTCTGTTCCTCCTTTCTGAATTGACGACCTTCCCCATTCAGAGCAGCTGCTTACTGGGTGGAGACCTAAGCCTGGGCCTCCCCAAAGCCCAGGACTAGGGAATGCAGGATTCTGAGTCCATAAGAGTAAGCTGGCTGGTCCCTGCGAGATCCCCATACTCTGATGATGAGGAGCCTCAGAAACATGTTTTCTCCTCATAGCAAACTCTGCTTCAAAGACTGAGCCCCCAGTGGGGCCCAGGTCACCACAAGTTCTTCCCACAGGTCTTGCCTCTAGAATGGAACACTCAGTCCCTAAGACGTTTAGCAATCCAGCTGTCATTGCCACTGGGTGTGAGCCCAGTGGCAGCCCTGATGCACTGAGCACCCACCCTGCACAAGGCATGATACTGGCACCCTTTCCATGCTGTGCAAATCCTAGTTCAGGCTCTTCTAGCTATATGACTTTAGACAAGTGACCTCACTCCCTGTACGTCATAGAAGCATGAATGCTAATCATAATTGGTACCCGCTGCTCTGGGTTGTGAAGATAAAACATGGGTGAAGACCTGGCCCAGTACTTGGTACCCTTCTGTTAACCTGTCCAGCTCCTTTGGGTGGGAGGAGCTGTCCTCATTCCATGTGCCTGCCCACCTTGCTCTTGGGGCCAGAGCGCATCTCTCCAGGTGGCAGTGGCTGCCTCTGGAGCCCAGGACAAGCGCACAGACCAAACTGACAGTAAGGATTGGAGGCTGGCATACTCCTTGAGTCTCTTTCTTTCCTCAAGTCCCAACAGGGCGATTTGGGGAAGGAAAGGCTGCAAGGGCACACAGCCCAGCCATTTTGGGCACTTGGGCAGCAAGTGCGAGGTGAGGGAGGGCCGCCAGGGGAGCAGCAAGATGCACGGGCCAGGATAGAGGGGAACAGAGCAAGGGGCAGAGAGGAGAGAGGCAGGCGTGGGGGACACAAGGCATGACACACACACCGCCGTGGAGATGCAGAAGCCTCAGAGCTGAGGGGACAGCGGGCAGGGTGGGCCGGGCTCTGGCTCCGGTCCAAGCAACAGTGCTGCAGGAGAGAAAGGATTAAGGGGGCCACACAGAAGAGGAAGTAGTTAAGGAATCAGCTGCCAGCAGGAGGGGAGGGCAGGAGTCAAGTAACACTGGAGGCAGGGGACATCTGTCTTTTATCTTTGGTCCTCACCCAGCCCTGGGAAATGGGTATGATTAACACCCACCGGCAGATGGGGAAACTGAGTCAGGGGGCGGAATGGGCTCAAGAAGCCTCTTGTGCTATCTGCTCAAGGTAAACAGTCCAGGGTAGAACGCACACCAGCTTGTGCCTCTGGGCTCTGAAGGGCGTGCTGGTCCCTGCAGCCCAGGCTCTGGCTTCCTGAGAAGGAAAGGCCAGGGTCGGGAGGGCCTTGGTATCTAGGTCATAGTTCAGAGCCAAAGGGCCCATGTCTGCAGGGCTGGGGTCCAGAGACAGTTCAGTCCGCCAAGGCAGAGAGGGACACGGATATGATGGTAGTCATAGGGAGAGGGCTGGCTGCAGGGAGGGTGGGGAGGTCGAGGACAGCAAGGGGCAGGAGCAGCGGGGAAGGGGTGGTGCTGCGGGGACGGCTGGTGGCCCGTGCCCCCACTGACCTCGCACTTGCTGCTCCAAGTTCAGGATGACTGACACGGCCTGGTGCAGGATGAGCAGTTTGGTCTGGGGCTTCTCACTGTTGAGGTGCAGCTGGCACATGCGCCCCAGCTCCTTAAAAGCCTCATTGATGTCGCGGACCCGCAGCCGTTCGCGGGCATTATTGGCCACTCGGCGCTCCTTCTCCCTCTCGGCCTTCTGCTCTGGGGGGAGAAGGTCGTCCTCGTCCTCGTCTGGGCTATGGGAGAGGGACGCCAGGAGGGGGCCAGAGGGAGACAGTGAGGTAGGGGACGGGTACGGACCCGCCGATGGCCTCCCAGCATGGATGCGGTATGCATGTGCCTGTGTGTGTGTCCTGCCAGGGTGGGTGAGAAGGGGCGAGGAGGAGCTGGCACCTGGTCCGGGTCCGGGGCGCCTTCAGCTCCTTCTTGTCCTCCTCTGAGTTGTCAGCCACTGAAGTGTTCTCTTCATCCTCCTTTTCCTCCCGCTTAATCTCGCCAGCACCTGCTGCTGCACCTGCATGTCCAAGCCCTGCAACAGATCTGTGGTCAGGGGCTGTGGCCAGGGTGGGGGCTGGCTTCCAAGGCTACCTGAAAAATCCCTCTTTGCCCCTCTCATGAAGTGCACGAGCTCTCCTGGGACAATCAGGTCTTCATTTGCCAAAAAAAGAAAAAAAGAAAGAAAGAAACAAAAAACAAACAAACAAAAAAAACCAAACAAACAAAAATAAAAACAAACCAAAACCAAAAACAAGACACAACCAGAACTGGATCCCTACCTCATGCCATACACAGGTACCAATTCCAGACAGATTAAGGACTGGAAGGTGAAAGGCAAAACGTTACAACCTTTAGAAGAAAGGATACAGAAATTCTGTTGCAACTCTGGGGTAGGGCAAGGAATGTTTTTCGGGTTTTTTTTTGTTTTTGTTTTTGCTTTTTTTGAGACTGGGTCTGTTACAAGGGACAGAGCAGTGTTGTCATCATAGCTCAATTCAGCCTCCAACTCCTGGGCTCAAGGGATCCTCCTCTTTCAGCCTCCTGAGGAGCTGGAACTACAGGCACACACTACCATGCCTGTTTAATTTTTCTATTTTTTTGTAGAGATGGGATCTTGTTATGGTATCCAGGCTGATCCTTTTTTTGAGACAGAGTCTCACTTTGTCACCTCCTGCTAGAGTGCGTCATAGCTCACAGCAACCTGAAACTCTTGGACTCAAGTGATTCTCTTGCCTCAGCCTCCCAAGTACTTGGGACTACAGGCACCCACCACAACGCTGGGCTATTTTTAGAGATGGTGTCTCACTCTGGCTCAGGTGGGTCTCAAACTGATGAGCTCAGGCAATCCGCCCACCTCTGATTACAGGTGTGAACATCCATGACTGGCCTTCTAGGCTGATCTTGAACTCCTAACTTCAAGTGATTCTCCCAACGAAGAGGCCTCCCAAAGTGCTGGAATTACAGGAGAGGCATGAGCCACCACACCAGAACTTTTTCTTACAATATTAAATAAGCTGTTTTCTTTTTGAAGGAAACAACTGATTAAATCATTTATTTAAAAATATGGAATGCACTGTGAATTTTAGCATCATCCTTGCACAGGTGTTTTGCTAATATTTGTATTATTCTAATTTTAGTCTATATGCTACTAAAACAAATGCTAAAGGAACTGCTTTCAAAAGAAAAACAGTAAATTCAACTGTATAAAAATTTGAGAATTTCTAATAACCGAAAGATAACACCAAGAAAGGTTGGGCATGGTGGGACACAACTGTAAACCCACATCTTTGGGAGGCTGAGGTGGGAGGATCACTTGAGACCAAGTGTTTGAGACCAGCCTGGGCAACATTGTGGGATCCTTTCTCTACAAAAAACCAAAAAACTCACTGAAGTCAGGGTCTCCCCCCAAGCATTGTAGACACTGGGGCTGGATGGTTCCCTGGGATGGGGCCATCCTAGGCACTGCAGGGTGCTGAGCAGTGTCCCTGCTTCCACCTACCCCATGCCAAAAGCACCCTCAGTGATAACCACAATGTCCCCGGAAATGGCCAATGTTTTCTTAGGGGCAGAACTGCCCAGGGTAAGACACTGGCCTAGGGGTGGTAAAAATCAAGAAAGTCAGGGGAATCCAAGGTACTACTGTTTTGGGAAACACACAGACATACCCCTCAGGGAAGTGCTGATTTGAAAAATCAAGCTGGTCTGGGGGTATGGGGGATGGGCCAGGACAGGGCCCATGATGATCCAACCTTCACATGGACAAGTCACTGATGTGCCAAGCAGTTAACAAACCCAGGAACTGTTCCATCTGTCCCCTTCCTTACTGGGCTTCCCAGCCTAGAAATTTAAGCACTGCCCTATCCCCTCCTCACTCTGCTCCAGTAAGACAGGCCTTCTTGCTGTGTCTTCAACAAGGCAGGTGTCTCCTGCCCCAGGACCTTTGAATGGGCTATGCCCCTGCTGGTCTACCTGAGGGCTTTTCTCTGTTTACTCCCTATCTCTTTCCCCAGTGCCAAGGATAGTACCTTGCACTAAGCTGATGCAATACTCAAGCCTCCTAGGTAATCTCAGCTGTCAAATTCAAGAACCAAGGGGCGGTGTTTTGGAAGGTGCCAACATAACCTACTCAGAGTCCAGGCCAGGCTCCACTCATCCCATCTTTCCTCCTAAAGGAGGTAGCTGTGTACTGTGACCTAGGAGCCCCCATGATAACTGCACCGGCCCCCCATTCCCACCTTCAGATTCTTTACCTGGGAAGGGGCTGAACTCCCCCCACCTACTTCAAACCCTGAAGGGTGCCACTGGGATCCAGTATCCTGTCCCAGGCCCTGCCCTGTAAGGGCCCCATTAGGGGTGCAAGGACAGGGTGACATGTGTTGCTGAGGATCCCACTCTGACTCCTACTGTGCTTTAGTCTCCCTAGCTAGAAGTAGGGACTTGGACAGGCCTAAGCTGAAGGCTTACCACTGTAGGAGTCAGGTGGCCGTGAGAGGTCAGGGAGTGCACTGGGCTGGCTGGGGAGTGCTGCATGGTTGTGCAGGAGGCTGGTGCTGCCTGTGAGGCCATCCTCTGTGTGGCTGCCTCCAACCTGTGCGTGCAGGTAACAGCATATCAAGGAGAGGTGGAGGGCCCCATCTGTCCCCACCCCAGGCTTATCCACGGCTCACCATACTGGTGTGCCGCCCACCCAGCGGCATGGGGCTGGAAAAGCCTGAGGCCAGTGCCCCATGGCTGGGCAGCAGTCCCTGCATGTCACCAGCTGTGCCCACAGCATGGCTTCGGAGCACATGGATTGCTTCATCCAGGTGATCTTCCATCTTGTTCTGCTTTGGAGAGCAGGAGTGGTGAGGGGTATGGCTGCCAGGATCCCCATACTACCCCTTGTGTCCCCTCTGACACGCAAGCAACAGGTGGCCCTATTTCCCCTTCCCCAGGAAACTGTCAGCCTAGCTTTGGTATTATTCCTGAGAAAGCAACTTTTTAAATGGTTTCTACTCCACGGAGACCAACTGTCCTAGTACATACTCTCCTGGTCCCAAGACCTAAATAGCTCTTTCACGGGCTGCAGGATGGCAGGATTGCTCACCAGGCCATGGAGACCCCCGTCGTAGCTGGGGGATAAGGCACCTGGGGCTCCCGCGCGGGCCCACTGTGACGTCCCTGAAAGAAATGGGAGGCATGTGAGGCAGGGATGGGCACAGCCAGACTCTGGCAGAACCCTGACTTTCGCAAACCCCACAGCCCTGCTAGGTTCCTTAGAAGGGAATTGTGAACAGCTTGTGCTGTCTGGGACAGCCACGTGGGGACACCCAACAAAGGCAACCAACTCCATGCTCAGTCTAGCCAGGCAGGGACACTGGGTTGCCCCGAGGGTGGGTCCCCACCCTCCAAGAGGAAGACAGCTCATGAGCACACAGCAGGTACCCCAAGGGGCATCTCTGCCCCATCCTGCCCCCTCCCTAAGCTCCAGCAGCAGGCAGGACAGTTGTTAGCTCCAGGCAGGGGGTACTGAACAGAACAAGGTGAAATCAGAATCCCTGAGGCTGCCTTGGGGACAGAAGAGAGGATTCAGGGACCACATAGCCCAAGAACCTCTGACTCTTACTGCTCCTCATCCCCAGAGCTGAGGCCCTGGCATGTCCTTGCAAGGGATAGGATGTGACCCTCTTGCCAAAGCCAGGCACAGGGTACACAGCTCCCATCTAATAAATACCCATCAGTAAGCAAATTATAACATGCACAGGATCTGGAGTGCAGTTGGGGATGTGGCTCTGTTACTCTCACTCTTGCCCTTAACTCCTGGTCTATGCCCGAGATATGACCCACCCCACCCACATGCCACCGTCCAGCCCCTTACACTGCCTGGCCTGTGCTATGGCTGCCTGGCATGGAGGGCATCTCCTCCAGGGAGCCTTCGTGGATTGCCCATGGGGGCATGTGCTCATGGAGAGAATTTCCATCCCATAGTCTAGATCTGTGATGTAAGATGCTGCAGGCCCCATGGGGCTCCACATTCCCTGCCCCATTTGGCTGCCAGCCCAAGCAGGGCTGCAACACTAAATGCAACCCTCCACGGGCTCCCACATCCCTCTCCCCTCACAGACCTGCCAGACCCTGTGGGGAACCCACGGGGGTAGAGGGGCTAGATGAGAAGTTATTGCTTGAGTGATCTGGGGAGTAGATCTGAAATGGGGACAAGAGAGAGATGGGCAGTCAGAGACCGGCCACTAGGTCACTGGCCCTGCCACCCACGCCCCCCACTACCCCGAGCCTCACCGAGGCCAGTGCCTTCCCAAGGGCGTCCCCAGAACTGCTGGCTATGGTCCCTCGGGTGCCTGTGGGAGAGAGGTGAGGCCCAACCTTGTGGCTGCTACCCCCAGATGCAGCCTGGCTTGAATGCCCTGGCTGATAAGGAGCTCTCTCCTGTGCCCAGCTCCTCTGCAGACATACCACTTCAAAGGCTCCTTGCCCTGACTTGAGTCTGATTTCTGCCTGACACCCTCACACCTACTGCTGCAGGGCTGAGGCTCTGGGGATAGGCAGCGGCAGGACCCTGGGTACATGAGGCCTTTCTGAGTCTTGACTCCCCTAGGTGTAATGTGGGAAACCCAGTCTTTTGAGAGCTATTTTCAAACCTCTCACACCCGGTGGGCAAGGTGGGCCCACTGGAGGGCAGATGACACTAGTGACAATAACGGCTCCCTCAGGAAAGCGGCCGTACCCATTAGGCTGTCAGTCCCGCTGACGGGTGGTGTGTGGCTGGAGACACTGCCGTACGTGGCTCCAGAGGTTGAGGAGAAGGTGGACACGGCTGGAAGCCCACCATTCACCTCTGCCCCATGCAGTTGGTAACCCTGGGGGACAGGTGAGAGGAGAGTTGGTCACAGACAAGTGCTGTCCCTACACTGCCTGCCCCACCCTGCCCGCCCTTGGTCCTACCATGCGCTCATGTTGGTGCAGGCCACCAAATGTGCCGCCATTACTGCCACTGCTGCCCACGGAGCTGCTGCTGCCTGCAGGGAGGGGCAGGGGGGAAGAGCCCCCGCCTAGCATGGGCCCAAAGCCTGCCTGGCCCATAGAGCTCCAGAGCTCAGCGGAGGGGTGTAGGTTGCCGTCTGCAGAGAGGGGAATGGTGAGGCAAGGTCGGGGGATCCCAGGTCCTGCCCTGTTGCAGGGTGAGCCCCCATGCACCTGCCATGTAGAAGGGGGCAGGATAGGCGCTGCTGGGGGTCTTCACAGATGGGTAGGTGGCGGCGTCCCTGCCATAGTCGTCACCTGAGCTGGGTGGGTATACCTGCAGGCAGGAGGCGTGGTCAGACGAGAGAGACCTGGCAGAGGGAATCCATCAGCCCCAGCCTCAGCTCCTCCTGGACTTAATCTACCCACCACCCCACTTTCCCATCCTACTTTACATCCTTCCCTCTAAAACCTTCCTTTGCTTTGGGTGAACCCATCCCCCCACTGTTCAAAGGGATTTTGCAGTGTCTTGTCTTTCTTTCTCCCTTTCCAGCCCAACCCCTCTTCCCACCATTTTGCCTCCCACCAGTTCTGGCCTTATTTGCCTAAAACCTTCAAAACTGGACCCTGCCCAGAATGCCTCTTCCCTCCTTAATCCAGCAAATTCCTACTGATCCATCAAGCCCCAGCTGTGGTACTCCTAGCCCTTCCTCTGGCCCCAGCCCAGATCACATGAGACCCTAGGGCCTCAGAATTAAGACTTTGGAGTGATATTCCTGGCTGCCCCTAGGGGCAATAGCAAAAGGATTTTGTGAGTGGCACCAACTCTGATGAGCCGGTGCTGCCTATAACTATGTGGTTAGAAAGCACTGGGACCACTAGTAATGCCTGTCCTCCCCCATCACTGAGGTGGAGAGAGACGCTGGGTGGATCAGGTAGGTTGGGGAGGCTCTTAGCTCTGATGCTGTAGGAACCTGGGGCGAGGGATCTTGGGAGGGGGGCCTGGAGAAGAAGGGAAGGGATGAACATTGTCACATGTGGAGGCTTAAAATTGCCCAAGCCTGGCTGTACCTGCCTGGGACATCAACCCAAATAATAGCAAACCCAGGCCTGCTGTGAGCTTGGCCAGCCTAAGAGGTGAGGGGGTTTTAGCCTGCCTGTGGGGGCCCTGGGGCTGCTGGAGGCCAGGCCAGGAGCCAGGCATAAGGTGGTGGCAATTGAGCCAGGGAATTAAACAAACTGCCTTTTCTTCCAGAGTGACTGAAGGGCAGGAAGGAGGCGCCGTAAGCTGCTTATGGGCCACCACCAGCTGTTGGGCCTGGCACCCTGCCAACCACTAGGCAGCAGGGTGGGGACATAGGCAGCTTGAAATGGGCAGGTGGGGAGGTGAGCCCTGGGTGTCCCTAGTGGGACAGGGTGGGGGCCTTACCTGCCCTTGGCTCCATTTTCACCCTTACTCAGGAAGAGGCCTTAGCCATAGGACCTATCTTTCTCTCAGAGCAAGAAAGAGTCAGGTCAGACCTAAGGAAGAACTTCCCTGACTGTCCCTTGGAGACAGCCTCTGGGGCCTTGGGGAAATTTTTTGCTCAGAACCAAGGAAGGGCCACGCCCACAGGTGGCTGGTCCCATAGTCCCAAGGCAAAGGCATGGCCCAGTGACCCCTCTGGCATGCTATGGCCTCCAGTGGGGTAGGCCCCTAAGCCTCAGTGTCATGAAAGCACCTGGCCTGTGCAGTGACTCCCCCCCGCCTTTATCCCACAACTCACCGAGGATGGAAGACCAGGCGGGACCTTCCGGACCTTCTTGGGCTGCGTGTCTGCCAGGAGCAAGAATAAGAAGCAATGCTGTCCAGCACCCTGGATATGCCCGTCCCTGCTGCTCTGGACAAGTGACCCTTACATCTCCCATCTGATGAAATTGTTAAAAAGCTCATCTACATGGGTCCAAAGATGCAAAGAGCATTTTACCCCTTGCATGGAGTGGGAAATGAACAGTTAACAGTATTTGTGACAAGTCTCTTTTCAGAAGCCCCTCAGCCATCCCTTCTTTCCAGGACAAGCCCACCTGCTACAGTCAGTCCACATTATTGTGAAATCTATATCTGCAAATTTGCCTACTCAATAAAGTAACCAACCCTGAAATCCACCCCAGAGGCACTTTCTCGATCATGGGCAGAGTGGGAGAAAATCTGAATCTCCTATGTACATGTCCCCAGGTGAGGCTGAACATGGAACAGCTGTCTTCTTGCTTCACTTACACTCTAAGTATGGCCCTTTTCTCAGTGAACTCAGAGCCACCACTTTTCACATTTTTGTGCTTTTTGCTGGTGACATGATCATTTAAAGAATGACCCCAAGACTGGGCATGGTGGTTTATACCTATAATCCTAGCACTTTGAGAGGTAGAGACAGCCGGAGCTCAGAAGTTCAAGACCACCTGAGCAAGACTGAGACCTCATCTCTACTAAAAATAGAAATTAGGTAGATGTGGTGACACCTGCCTTAGTCTCAGCTACTTGGGAGGCTGAGGCAAGAGGACTGCACGAACCTAGGAGTTTGAGGTTGCGGTGAGCCATGATGCCATGGCACTCTACCCAGGATGAGAGAGTAAGACGCTATCTTAAAAAAAAAAAAAAAAAAAAAGACTCCAGTATAGTGCTTAGCAGTCGATTTGTCCCAGGGCCGCAGTCCAGCCCTCCAATGGTCTGAGGGCAGGGGGGTGGGTGGAGACATAAAGACCCACATTAGAGAAACCTCTCCAGTGACAATGCCGCTGGCATTGATGAGCTCAGTGTGCAGTAGTGAACAATACGTGTTCCCTAAGGTTTGCTTACAAAGATACACACAGGCCTATAAGTAGGCACCCTCTAGCTGGCCAAAGTGTGGGGACCGAAGGTTAGCAGAAGCCTGAACTTAGGTTTCCCTGAGGAGGAATGACAGACACAGACTGATTCAGAGTCTGTGCAACTTATTGAACCAGAATTACCTTGAATAATGAGAACCGATTGTGTTTGTATCCCTCTTGGTTTATTGACAGTCCCGGTGTCCAGCCAGGACTGGAGGGTGAAGAGTAGGACCTCTATGCCCCCTTAGCTAATGGAAGGACACACCACTTCCCTCCTGAAGCCTCCCTCTGGCCAGTCACCACTCACCCAGGCCACCGTCTGCAGCTCTCCGTCGGGGATTGCCGGGGTAGGAGAAGAACTGGGAGCTGCTCTTGAGGCCTGATGGGGACAGCGGCCCAGGGCTGCTGAGGGACAGCTCGCCTGGCAGGAAGCCAGCCTGGAGGAGGGTTGGCAGTCAGGAGTTGCCTGGCTAGGTGCCCAGCCCAATCCCAGTTAAAAGGACAGACCCTTTTAGACCTATCCGAGGGGAGACCCTGACCCTTGGAGCATGGGTGGGGAGGTGGTGTCCCCTCTGCCTGCTTGCCATATTTCTTTCCTGACACTTACTGGACTTCTCTGACTTAGACTGTGGATTGCAAGCCACACTCTCACGTCCATAAAGACAAAAGATGGAGAAAGGAAAACATTGCTAACAAATCAGAAGCTGCATCTGAACAAGACACCTATGTATCCTGGTGTCAATGGAACCTGCTTGTTCTACTTGGTATGTGCCTTTTTTTGTTAAAACTGAAGGAATGGGGCAGCGCTTATGGCTCAAAGGAGTAGGGCGCCGGCCCCCATATGCCGGAGACGGCAGGTTCAAACCCAGCCCCAGCCAAAAACTGCAAAAAAACCCCCCCAAAAAACCCTGAAGAAATGATGTTATGTCGCACATGCTGGTTTGACATGGGGCCACCCTGAGTCTGATGTCTGGTCTGTATGGTCTGTTCTTTGCCACTCGGTTCCTCCCCACAGTGGACATCTATAAAAGGGTCACATTGTCCCTTATCTTGGCTCATAGGAAAGTGGTTTCTACTCTCAGCTCAGGGCCTAGTACCCAGCTGGAGTTAAATAGCTGGTTCAGGCACAGCAAATGCACAGATGGGATGGCACCCTGAGATCCAGGAGTCACAGGAGGCCACGCTGGACCACTGTGGCTAGTCATCCCCCACTCCCAATCTGAGGCTTCTTTTTTTCTTTCTTTTTTTTGAGACAAGAATCTTAACTTTGTCACCCTCGGTAGAATGCCGTGGGGTCACAGCTCACGGCAACCTCCAGCTCTTGGGCTTAGGCAATTCTCTTGCCTCAGCCTCCAGAGTAGCTAGGACTACAGGCGCCTGCCACAACGCCCGGTTGTATTTTTGTTGCAGTTTTGGCTGGGGCCGGGTTTGAACCCGCCATCCTTGGTATATGGGGCCGGTGCTTGATTCACTGAGCCACAGGTACTACCCCAAACCCAGGCCTCTTAACTGGGACCAGTGAGGGTGAGAATTTCAACTGGACTGGGGCCCCTTGGGTTGGCTCCCTGGGTGGTCCACACCTGCAAAGGCGGCAATATTACCTCAGTTTCCCTGTCTGCCATGAAGGGGCGGGTGGGTGGGCGTGTCAGCCTTCTTGGCCTGGACTCCAGGGCAGGGGAGTTGTTGTGAGGTCAGGGGTCATGGCCTTCCTGGGTTTACCTGCTTTTCCCTTCTTCCCTATCTACACCAGACTAGCCCAGCCTGGCCTAAGGCCCAAACTATTTTAGCTACAACCAGGGAGTGGACAGAACTTGGAGGGGCCATGAAAGCTTCCACAGGTCAGAGGATAATTATTAATAATTAATTATCATTAATTAATAATCGTTCCAATTTATATTCGATTAACATTAACTATCATTAATCAATTAATTATCATTCCAATTAATTTATTATTCATTTAAAATTAAGACACACCAAAAAATAAAGGGTGGGAAAAGGATGGGGAGTAGAGCCACACACACCTCACACCAAGTTGCACTAAGTCACTGACCACCTGCATCTGCCACTCCATCCCTATCTGGGAAACAGCGGAACTCAACCCCACACATAAGCCATCCATGCCTCTCACCTGAGTCAAGCTGCCAACACCTGGGTCTCTCCCAAAGGGAGTATACGTGCTCCGGTCGTTGCCCTTACCTGGAGGGGAGGAAGGAAGGTCACTCAGAGCTGACTCCTGAGGGACTGGTAGGCTTGACGCAGTACCAGCACCTGGTTGCACGCAGCAGACACTCAGTTAAGTGTATACAATTGAGAGAAATAGGACAATTGTTCTGTCAACCAGCAAAGGAAGCTTGGAAACAAAAAGGGGTCCCAGCAGGTCTTACGTGGACTCAAAACACACATGCTGCAGCACCACGTTGCCTACCTGGAAGGAGGGGCTGCTGAGCTCTGGGTGGCCTCAGCTTTCTGTTGTCTGTGCCTGAACCTCAACAGGGTCCTACCCTTCCTGAGTCTTAGTTACTTCTGTTCAAGTTCAGGAGCTGCTGACACCCAGAGGGTGTTTGGCTCAAATGAAGTATCTATCTGTCCCAGGGGACAGACCTGGAAGAGGCGCCCGTGACCTGTGTACATGGTGTCTACCAGGCTCAGTGACCAGGTCCCAGGACTCCCTAAGCTTCCATGGCACAGGTTCACAAAGGGGCATGTGTCCCACATGCCAACAAGAAGCATCACCCCCGCGATGGTTCGAACTATTAGTGACAATGGGTGGTCAGGATCTGGGGCTCCAGAGGGGCATAGCTTGCCTGAGAGAACCACCTGTAGGGACAGACTCCTGCAGCTACAAGGATACCTGGATGTAGCCTTGCCTGAAGGGATCCCTGGATGAACGGGCACTTGAGCTATTTAAGTCCCCTTTCAGATTAAAACTGGGTGTTTAAGTTGACTAAACGGCGAGGAGTCAGAATGCTCAACTAATTTGAGTTATTTTCAAACCAGGAAAAAAAAATTTCCTGATTTATTCTAAAAGTATGATTTCACCCAGATTTTAGAGTAAGTACTCCTGGAGTCTGATGCTTTTTCCCTTTCCATATTCTCATCATGTTGACCTGAAGGAGGACAGATCACATTCATGGTCCCACAGGCCATGTCTAGCATCTAGCAAGAGCAGCTACTGGTCCTGTTCCACAGGTGAGAAAAATGAGCCCAAGGATCCACAGGTGCCTGAGCCATAGGGAGACTGACATTGCTCCAACCTCCTATTGGTGGTGGGGACCCCTGACTGCCTTCTCCCAACTCCCTGGCCACATCCCAGGTGTGTGAGGGGCCAGGAAGGGACACAACAAAGCTCTTGGCACTGCTGGACAGGCCAGGCCATGGAACTGCCCAAGTCAGCCCCACTTACCCTCAGACCAGCAGGGAGTACAGTGAAGAAGCCAGAAGAAGGAACAGCCAGAGGGGAACCCAGTGTCCCTGCAGGTGCAGGGGCCACCCCAGGCTATAAGGCAGGGGTGGGCCTCACCTTCCTCATCTGGGAAATGGGCATAAAACTCCCATCAAACAAGATGGGTGTTGAGACTTATCTTCCCCTCCTTTTTTCATGCAATTAGCTTCCCACTCACCTCCAACCTACCATGTACCAAATCCCAGCATGGGCAAAGTGATACATGACCGCCCTATGGGGCCTGAGCCAGGAGCTTCCCCTTAGGTCCAGTGTAAAAGCCAAGGCACGCAAAGTCTTCCAGCCTGTTTCCCCATGAGCCAATAATGCCTTGGGCCATATACAGTTCACGCCTGCACAGAATACCTAAACCCAGTACCACAGCTGAGGTGCCCACAGCAGGCACCCCCACCACAGTGTGCTCTTGTCTCATGAGTGCTAACAGAAACACTGTGGCTAACTGCCCTGCTGCCTGGAACCTGGAGACAACAGAGGGAACTCATGTGCAGAGCTGCTGAGGAATGACATTATAATCTCCATGTTTTGTAGCCAAGGTGCCAAGGTAGGGGGCTGCCCCGGACTGTCTCTAAGTAGTGTGCCCCAAGCACCAGATTCCCTCAGAAAGAGGGTGTGTGTGCGAATGCAGAGGGAAGTCTGTGGAGGTCACCAGGCAGGAGGGAGGGCAAATAGTCAAAGCCTAATGGTTCTTGGAAGATGGAGCCCATGCCAGCTCCTGACCAGCCACAGCCCTCTGGACAGGTCGCTTTTCTCAAGTTTGCTAGTCTGCAGGATGAGCTGGGATAGTAACAAAACAGGCAACAATGGCCCCTTGCACATAGCAGGGCCCAGCCAGCTGTATACATCCCTACCACCTCCCATGGGGAAGTCTCTGGGAGAGTCCTTGTCCCACAGGGAGAAACCAAGGATTGAAAGGTGATAGCGCTTGCCCAGAGTCAACAGTGGAGCGGATGTGTTCCAGGCCTGTCTAAGCCCTGATTTTCTCAGTTACAATGAAGGGAGCTATGGAAGGGCATATGAGGGCTCTGACCATCTCCTGCCAGGGCCCCTTCCTGAGCTTCCAGGGCTTTTAAGTCTACTTCTCCTCAGGTACCTGAAGCCCCACAGCACCCCAGGTGGCTCTGGAATTGCCCTCCTGCCCTCAAACCCCGGGAAGAGACACTGAGTCACGGAGTGCCACATGGGGGGAACCTGGGCAATGCCCACTTGCACCCAGCTCTAGGGATGGACAGAGGCTGCAGCCATCAGTGCTCTCTGGGTGAGCCTTGGCTTTTACATTAGCATTTGTAGAACACCACTCATGCTTGTGTGCACTATAGAGGGATCAGGGACAGCACCACACTGGGCCCTCACCTCCAAGCCCGGGTCCCAGGAATGTAGATGAAGATAGGCTGCTATGGGACTCGCTGAAGTGGGTGCCTTCACTGTAGGTCTAAAAGAGATGGTAAAGGGAAGGGATGAGAGGTGGTGGGGGATCCAGGAGCCCAGGTCCACCCCCAAGTTATAGTTGCTTCCAAGTGCCAGCTTAGGACTTGAACCCTTATCTCTGAGTCCAAATCCCCTGGAAAGCTGGCTGGCATCTGATTTTCTCTTCTTCTTTGTCTCATCTTCCCTATATGCCCACACTTCAGGAAAAGGAAACTCAGCTACTAGTGCCTCCTTACCCGGCTGGGGTCGAAGGAAGAACTGTTCTGGTCGCTGGTGCCCCAGGAGCCGGAACTGGGCCGGTCCTCAAGACCTGTAGGGCAGGAAGGAGAGCGTTAGGGATCACCCTCACCCCTGTTTGGCTTTAAAGCCTCACTAGACACAGGCAGCTTCTGGAGACCTTTCTCACCCAGCCCCATTCAACCCAGCCCATATGACACCATCGTTAGCAGCAAACACCCTCAGTGTATATACAGATCCATAAGCTCAATACCTCTTCCACCAGCTATTTCTGCTGGTAAATTCCTATCCATCTGTCAAAGTCCCTGGCCATCACATCCACCTGGGCAGAGTACTCACCCTTATACTGAGCCTTCTCCTCCCAGACTCACCCACCCACCTCACAAGCCTGACCATGTGGCACTGAGGTATCTGTCTCAGTTGTCTCTTCTGATCTTGCCAGAAAGGCTCACAAGAGTTTCATGGCACACCAAGTTCCTGGGAAGTTGCAGTCTCCCTCTTCCTATTGCTGCCAATATGGAAGGTGGGAGCATCCTGTTGTTCCAAGAGCAGCAGCAGCTGCCAGGGGCCATCTACTGGGCTAGCAGCCCAGCAAGGGAGAATGGAATCCCTGTCATAGAGAAGCAAGGCTGGCCTAGAGGCCTGTGGCACCTAGGTCCCCAGGGCAAGGCCCTTAACTCCTAGAACACTCATATGGGGTACCCACCCAAGACTCAGAATTTTCTGCACCCGGCAAGGCCTGCTTGGATCTTTCCTAGGGCCAGGGACTATGTCCTCCTTCACTGGAGATCAGGGGCCACTTCTTATGCCTCAGTTTCCCTCATCAATAAATAGGGTTACAGACTGGACTTTACTGGATTGACAGTGACCACTTCCAACTCTTTTTTTTTTTTGAGACAGAGTTCACTTTGTTCCCCACAGTAGAATGCCACAGCATTATTATAGCTCACAACAACCTCAAATTCTTGGTTTCAAGTATCCTTTTGCCTCAGTTTTTCTAGTTAGAGATAAGGTCTTACTCTTGCTCAGGCTGGCCTGAAGTATCCTTTTGCCTCTAGTTTTTTAGTTAGAGACAAGGTCTTACTCTTGCTCAGGCTGGTCTCAAACTGCAGAGCTCAAGCAATCCACCCACCTAGACCTCCCAGAGTGCTATCATTATAGGCATGAGCCACTGTGTCTTGCTACCTCCTACTCTTGAGACCAGATGCTCATGAGTGCCAGGCCCGTACGAACACGGGCCAGCCCTCCCCCACCCATGCACAACCAGATGCTCATGAGTGCCAGGCCCGTATGAACACAGGCCAGCCCTCCCCCACCCATGCACAGCCAGGTTGGATGCTGGGCCATGGTAGACCCTAGCCTAGCTCCCTCACCCCACCCATACTCATCTGTACCAGAAACTTCTTCCAAATCACATCTTTCTATTTTGGTGCCTTTATGTTAATCATCCCCCAATCGGTGTTTAATTGCTATCTAATTTACATAATTATACATATTAAACAGCAGAATATAATGAATATTCATGACCATTTAGATTTTTTTTCCAATCAAAAATTTCCAATGTGATGGGGTGGGCACTGAGACACTATCTTAGTAGGTGGGGTAGCCAAGCAGGGAGCGCTCATGGCCTCTAGGAATCCACTCAGTATTGTTGCTGGGTTGAGGTTTCCCACCCCAAGACCTGGGAATTCATTTGGGCCCTGGACATTCATTTAGGCTCTGGGGGAAGGGGTAGTTGCCAAGGTGGGAAGGCTGGCTTCTCAAGCTTAAGCACAGCACCAGTATCCTCTGACCTCAGGTTCCCTCAACATGTAACTGTCCCTTCACTGCCAGCCACAGCCTGAGACAAGGGTGTTCCTGTGCTTGGTGACCTCACTCTAGTGAGCACCTATTACACATCCCTGCAGGTACTGGGACTCTCGAGAGCAAAGGGAGGCTCAATGTCAGCCATGGGATCCGGTGAGCCTGCAAACCTGGCCCCATAGCTCTTGTCCCTGATGTCCCCCTTCACTGGAGACCAGGGGCCACTCCTTATGCCTCAGTTTCCCTCCTCAATAAATACGGTTATGGACTGGACTTTACTGGACTGACAGTGTCCACCTCCAACTCTTTTGTTTTGGAGACAGAGTTCACTTTGTTCCTATAGTAGAGTGCCACAGCATTATTATAGCTCACGGCAACCTCAAACTCTTGGATTCAAGTATCTGTTTGCCTCAGTTTTTCTACTTTTAGTATGGACAAGGTCTTACTCTCTACCCTTTCAGAACTCCCCTCATCTAACTCTTGGCCTCCTCCCTTCCAGAAATGACAAAAATAGGGATAGCTCCACATGAATTAACAGTTATTAAAATCATCCCAGCAATTAAGCATTTTAATAACCCAGTCATCAATATTCATAACATATTCCTTGCTCATGTTCCAATTAAAACATACTAACAGAATAAGAGGTTACTTTCAGAGAGTGTATGTGTGTGTGTGTATATATATATATATATATTTTTTTTTTTTGAGACAGATTCTCACTTTGTCATCCCTGGTACTGTGCCATGGCATCACAGCTCACAGCAACCTCAAACTCTTGGGCTTAAGTGATTTTTCTGTCTCAGCCTCCAGAGTAGCTGGGACTATAGGTGCCTGCTACAACGCCTGGCTATTTTTTTGTTGCAGTTTGGCTGGGGCCAGGTTTGAAGCCACCACCCTCACTATATAGGGCTGGCGCCCTACTCACAGAGCTACAGGCACCGCCCTGTTTTGTTTTTCAACAAGAGAGGTTAAGTCCTAAGGAACAATTTCCGGGAAGGATGCTGCCTGCTTTGGGATAGCCCAGGTAGTCAGGGAGAGACCTAGAAGTGGACCTTTAGAGGGCGCTGGGAAGGGGTCACTGCCCACCCCTTGGAGCTTCAGTGCCAATTCCAGATGACCAGTGTGGCAAAGTCGCTACCTGCCCAGCCTGCTGCGAGGTTAACAGTGAACACTGTGTTCAATGAACACTCAAGGCATGCTCAACACTTGCAAGGTTCCTAGCTTTTCAGGCCTATTCTGGGCTAGACTTGCACTCACCCCATTGACTGTGGGCTCACTCATACCTGGTATCCATTCACAAATGACGGAGCACATTCCAAAGCTACTCAGGAAGTACTAGCAGGACAAATGGCCCATGGACCAAGTCTGGCCCCTTGCCAATGGACATCACTGCATGCTGTCACGCCCATTTGTTCTTATAGTGTCCAGAGCAGCCTCAGCAGAATTGAGTGGCTGTGACAGTGACCACATGGCTGGCACAGTCAAAAATATTCCCAACCTGGCTTGACGCCTGTAAATCAGCAGCTAGGACGCCAGCCACATACACTGGAGCTGGCAGGTTCAAAACCAGCCCAGGCCTGTCAAACAACAATGACAACTGAAAACAAAAAATAGCTGGGTGTTGTGATGGGTGCCTGTAGTCCCAGCTACTTGGGAGGCTGAGGCAAGATAATTGTTTAAGCCCAAGAGTTTGAGGTTGCTGTGAGCTGTGATGCTGTGGCACTCTACCCAGGGCCACATAGTGAGACTCTGTCTTAAAAAAACAAACAAACAAAAAAAAATTCCCAACCTGGGCCTTTATGGGGGGAGTCAGCTAACCTCAGTATGAAGGAAGATTGGTAAGCAAACTGCCGGAGACAGGTGGCGCCTGTGGATCAGTGGGTAGGGTGTCAGCCCCATATACACCATATACAGAGGGTGGCAGGTTCAAACCCAGCCCGGGGCCAAACTGCAAAACAAAAAATAGCTGGGCATTGTGGCAGGTGCCTGTAGTCCCAGCTACTTGGGAGGCTGAGACAAGAGAATCACCTAAGCCCAGGAGTTGGAGGTTGCTGTGAGCTGTGACACTACAGCACTCTACCAAGGGCAATAAAGTGAGACTATGTCTCTAAAAAAAAAAAGAAAAGAAAAAAGGAAACTACTGGAGAAATTTCAGCTGCCTTTATAAGGAGCCCAATTCCCAGAGTTCAGAATCAGGAGTGGGCTTATAGGACCCAATTAGCAAAGTCTCTAGCAGATGCAAGCCCTGGACATAGCCCTCAGGCACAACTCCAGGAATATGGCTTCAGACTGGCTTGAGGACAATGTACCCCCAAGGGGGTAGTCCAAACCAAAGTCCCAGAAATCAAACCCCCTCCTACAACATGCCCCAATCCCCACAACAGCTTCCTTCCCAGATCTGCTGATATTTTGCCCCAGGTAGCCCAATGGAGCTTTCAGAAGCAAAACCTGGCTATCTTCTCTCCCCCAACCCCTCCCATGGCTCCCCGTCACTCTTAGGGTTAAGACTCTTAGGAAGGGTTAAAACTCCTTCCTGACTTCAGTCCTCTCTTGCCTCAACAACATCCCTGCCTGGGCTTGCCCCCTGCTCCTCCCCAGCCCAGGCCTCTCTGGGTCCCCTGCACTGCCTGGCGCAGGGCCAGGCTGCCACAGACATTTGCCTCCCACTTTTTTTTTTTTTTTGAAACGGAATCTCGGCTCAGCGCCTATAGCTCAACCGGCTAAGGCGCCAGCCACGTACACCTAAGGTGGCGGGTTCGAATCCCCAGCCCGGACCCGCCAAACAACAATGATGGCTGCAACCAAAAAATGGCCGGGCGTTGAGGTGGGCGCCTGTGGTCTCAGCTACTTGGGAGGCAGAGGCAAGAGACTCGCTTGAGCCCAGGAGTTGGAGGTTGCTGTGAGCTGTAATGCCACGGCACTCTGCCCGGGGGGAGAGCTTGAGGCTCTGTCTCAAAAAAAAAAAAAAAAAAAAAAAAAAAAAAAAAAAGAAACGGAATCTCACTAAGTTGCCCTTGGTAGAGTGCCATGGTGTTATGTAGCTCACAGCAATCTCAAACTCTTGGGCTTAAGGGATTCTCTTACCTCAGCGTCCCAAGTAGCTGAGACTACAGGCACCCACTACAACGTCCAACTATTTTTTTTGTTGTTGTCACTGCTGTTAGAGGCCCAGGCTGGGTCTCGGTGTATATAACCAGTGCCCTCACCACTGAGGTACAGGTACTGAGCCTGCCTTCCACTTCTTTATTTTACTCTTAAATAACGTGTCCA